AGGATGTGGAAGGTGATATATTAATCCAGGATGAGAATCATGAAAGAGAGAGGCGGAAACAGAGATCAAGACGACAATTCCGCTTCTATTGCTATTTATTACCGTTTTCCACAAAATTAGAAGATAGGAGACCAACATATATGAAACACTGATAGATTTATTAACAGTAATATTGTCATTTTCTCCAGTGAGTGGAAATTGTGACATCTTATATTGCGAGACATGCTGGAACAACACCTTAGAAATGGTTTTGTGCTTTCAAAACATGTGAACCGAGCAAAAAAGCAAAGAGATTTGCTAAACGAGTGAGCGTTAGTAAGAACATAGAGTAAAAGATTAAGATACTGTCCTGAAATACAATCATTTCCGGGAAATTTTTCATTTTCCAGTATAAAATGGTAATAATCTGTGTTGCTTACTTCAATTAAAAGACTTAACATAAAAAATTTTGCTGGTAATCGGCGTACAACGAACAAACACCAACAATAAATGTGGTTTCATGTATGCATTCAATTTGATCTTAAGAATCTTTTGAGACATAGAGTGTTTAGTTGTTATTTCGACTCTTTTTCATTTGTCATACATACCCATGTCGTGCGAACCGATCGAAAACCGCCGGTTAACCGCATTTGTCCGGCGGTTTTCGATCGGTTCGCACAACATGGGCACAATCGACTTACTTACTTATCATAATCTATTTCATCTCAAGCTAACACTAGAATAAGAATTTTTAATTTTCTCCATCTGGGTCCAATCAAATGAGCTGTTTTTTTTTCTGTTTTGTGTTCATGGTTGATTCAAAATGTTTTTCTTATGCGAACAGTGCTAATCAAAACTTTATTGAACCGTCATCATTGACTGAAATAGAAAATATGTCATAATTCATGATGTTAAAAAACAACTTAACATATTTACTGTACTGTGTGTGCATTGATCTTCCAGTTCGTACACCCAATGATCAGTTTCGTTATACATCCCTTGTTTTCTTTTTTCATTTCAGTAACATGACATATATAAAGTTGTTCCTGTCGACAAAATACACTATTTCGTCCGATTGTTTTCTTTCTCTCATATATTGCGCAGTTATGAATAGAGGAAAACAAATTCAACTATTTTTCCTAATGATTTCTCTCTGATGTCTATCTCTCGACTTTTATAGATATGCACATCTGTTCTCTAACTGACAGTGCCTATTACATGACTTCTAAAAACGCATATATTCTCTTTTAAAATTAAGTATAAACTGTAGCTCGGTGTCAACTTAATCTGAATGAGTGTGAATCGTTGAACATATATACAAAATTGAATGTTCAGTCCAAGTTCAAAGACAGTAGTGAAATAAAATGCAGAATGAATGTCCTGTTCGATCAACAGTAACTAAATTAACGAATGAATTTGAGCAGATGGAATCTGTGGTTAATATTTGCTCACCCAGTAGATCAGAATTCAGTTATCGTTCAAACTACGAAAACTGAAGCTTTTTACTATTTTGAAAAGAGATTCTCAGATAAAAGATCACCTGATCTAATACCAACAGACTTCTTCTACTGGAGGTACGCAAAAGAAATAGCGTATAGAAACAAGTGTTGAAGCTTAGCTTATGTCAAAGACTCAATGATCACAAGAGTTCATGCACTAGATGCTGAATTTTACAAGAAAGTTTTTGAGTAAGTGTGAAAAGACTTGAATGGTGTCTTGATGATGTTGGATATCAGTTTGAACTTTAAAATTCATTTGTTCTAAACTTTGATGTATGTGCATTAGCCTAAAGGATATCTTTTTAAAAGTTATCCTTTGATATTAGAAACGAAACCTATTTTCTAACCGTTTTGTAAGAGTTTTTTCGGACCTTATACAATGGTTAGTTTTTTTTTCATTTCAATTAATGATGATGGTTCAAAGCAGTCTTGATAACCATTATTTGCACGGAGAAAAATTTTAGGTCAGTCTCTCTGATTCTGTTTTTATCATTGTTATTAATATGAAAATCAGTTTATCATGCATCCGACGAGTACAGAATGCACATTATCATATTCAAAATCATCGGAAACCTACATCGTCACTAAAGAAAATATTTATTGTAAGTTTTTGATTCATTTACGCTGGGCAACAGATAAACATGAACTATTGTAAATTAAAATAATTTTAACTTTTTCGTACTATTTTTGTATATCGAGAATATTTTTTAACATATTTCAAGCAACTGTCGCCTGATTTTTTTTATTGCGTGCATTCAGTTCGTATATTCAGTTTTAAGTTCCATCTCTAGTCAGCCGTTGAAAGCATCAGTGCAATAAAATCTTCTGGTCAGAATAAAAAAGCCTTATACTATGATAAGTCTGATTGTCAGGGGCAGTGAGTTTTACACGCAATAGCTTGGATACTGATTTCACATTGTTATACGATTGTTTTTTGTTTGCAGAACTTGTTGATATTACATCAAATGGGTTAATTTCAAACACTTGACCTAATTACAATTGTACAACAACGGATAAAGCTCTTCTAAATATGAAGAGTGTTGGGACTTTTGTAGTCATTGAAATATGACGATTAGATAATGTCTAATTGAGGTTTTGCTCTTGACTCTCAATGATGGCACTTTATTCTAATCGTTCGCTATTTCTGGAGGGTAAATCGCAATTGTCTTCTAAAAGAGTCATCGAATTCATGTGCGACGATATATGGACAGAAAAAGAAGATTATAGATTGCTCAAAGGTATTCTTTCAATGAAGCCAATTTCTCTCTGAAATGCTTGATTTTACAAATATACATTTTTCACTATTTTTGATAAAATTCTTGTAAATATAAATAAAACAACCCTTGCATTAGCAAGACGATTGAGGAAGGAAGAATGATAGATACAGAACAAGACCCTGTCACTAACAACGAATAAGCTATAGTATGGTCCATTTTTGTATGCATGTTCATGGCCAATAAGGGAATTGTGAATAAGACAAGGCTCAGAGATGACACAAATCGCAAGATCCATCGAATTTGTTCTTCCATGATATTAGATAACTAGTCGTAGCTAAGAGATGATACTAAGACGTTACAAATTTTATTATTGATAGAACAGAAAGATATTCTTCTTCTCTCTATAAATGCACAAATCAGTTCATTTTATTTGTCTATGACACTTCAATGTTTCGCTTTATTAATCAGTGACTATTATTTTCTAAATGACGTGCCATTTATTTTCTTTCATAGCTTCACTATACCACGTATAGTTCAACATTATTTTACTAATCTTATTAAATATAATAGAGTTGATGTAAAGTAATATGTAAGCTCAAATTTCGAATTAAATCTAATAGTCACTAATTTATAGTTAATTTCTTAATAAGTCGTTAAAATTTAACTTGTAAATACTTATATGAAGCATTCTATTTCCTAATGCAACTACTGAGTTCAGTATATCCATTTATTGTCTTGATTCTAGTGATACAGTCGAAGAAGTTTGATATTACGAGTACAATACAAATACTTGATTCGAAACACTGGTGAAAACTGTCTAAATACCTAGGCAATCAATGGAAGCTGCAAAGTATCTGATAGAGTATTTGGCTCGTACCCGATGATCCTCGTTGAGAAAATTCTCTACTGATTAGCTAATTGAGAACCCAAAATGATCCAAATACTGAAAAATACTTGTGACATATTGACAACAGAATACACGTTCAGATGTCCTAAGCTGAGTATTTCCACTATGACTTGCATCAATCTATTCCGTATTGCTTTGAAAATATCAAGATTCTTGATATTTTTTTACAGAGTTCAGAAGAAACTACTGCCATCTATTTCAATTCGTTTAGGATTTGCTGTTACGAAGGTTACAATATAAAAGAACCATGAATAATGTCACTTGAGTAGGAAAAAACTGAAAGCAAGAAGAAAAAAGGTAATAGCAAAAACAGTCATATTTTTATCAAGCTTATTTATGAAACTATTCATCATCTTAATGAAAGTAAAAACTAACACGGAAGAATAAATTAAGGCCCTTTTTTTCCCATCTGTTAATAATAAGAAGAAAAAAACGTCCACATTTATTTTTCTAGATTTTTCTTGTAAAGCAATGACTGACATAGGACGTAGTTCGATTGAAAATGATTTTCTCTATGGTAGTAATGTGGCATCATGTCACGTTTACATACGCATGCGTAAGTTAAACATTCTTTGTTCATTATCTTGTTTTAATTAATATAGTTCCATAGAATTTTTACGCAAGGTTTATGGTATCGTTACAACTCAACTTTGTTTCGTTGCCTTTGTATCAACAGTAATAATGTCATTGGAAAATGTAAAACTATTTTTTCAAAATAATCCTGGTTTTCTTCTTCTATTATTTTTGGCAACAATGGTTAGTTTATTTGCTGTATATCTGAAACGTTTAGAGTATCCAACAAATTTTGCATTGCTTGCACTTTTTACATTTTTTGAATCGTTAACAATTGGCACCTTTGTTTCATTTTTTGACAAAATCTTAGTTTTACAAGCAATTATTTTAACTACTATTATTGTTGGAGGTTTAACATTATATACATTTCAAGCAAAGAGGGATTTTTCAGTTATGGGTACAGGTTTATACATACTTTTATGCATTTTAATTGCCGGAGGCTTAATTCAGGTAAAGAAAGGCTTTTTTTTATAAGAATCCTATTTATTTTTGTATGCTGATAGATTGTCGCTCGTAGTCCACTGATGGAATTAGGCCTTGCATGTAGTGGTGCACTTGTATTTAGTCTCTATTTAGTTTACGATACACAACAAATAATGCGTAAAACTTCACCAGAAGAATATATCGATGCAGCAATACAAATATATCTTGATATAACACGTTTATTTATTGAAATTTTGCGTCTACTTGAAGCTGTGCGTCGTCAATAACGAAAAAAAAAAGCAAAACACCTTCAACTTTTATTTTGTTTCATTGCTCTGTATCTCTGCTAATCATGTAAAAACAAAAGTAATATTCTCTTATAATAAATATCATAATCTAGATTTATGCTATAATAATAATAAATATAGCTGAAACAAAAAGTCCACCAATTAATCCAATAAAAACAACAGCTAGAACATTAGCTGGTAATAAACGTATTGATTCACCTAACCGATATATCCATGATAATTGTTGTTTATTATGAAGATGAGTATCTAATGTATGACTTGGTTGTTGTTGTTTTTTTTTTTGTTCCATTAATTCAATAGCAATAACATCATTTTTAACATGATCAACTGTTGTTGTTGAATCATAACGATTATCATGTATATATTCTAAATTTCCACCAAATGATGGAATATTAATCGATGATATTGTTGGTGCTTGTGATATTTGTTGTCGATATGATGAAAGAACTACAACAGGATGTGATAAAACAAATGAATCTGCACTATCACTTGTAGAATCTGGTATTGGTTGAATACGTGTGCGATTAGTTTTACGAATGGGTATTGTTGTTGTTGTTGGTTGAGTTTTTGTAGGCAATTTTGCAATACGTTCGGCTATTGATGGAGGTATATAACTTGTTTCATTTGTAATTGATATATCTGTAGGTGATGGAATGTTTTTTACTAGATCCAATATACGAACAACTTGATTATTTGATGATGACGACGATGGTGAAAGAGCAGCAGTACTATTTATTTTTTGTTGGTTTTCAAATTGATTTGATAGACTATCATAACCTGTATCATGTTCCGAGGATTCATTCTTATGAATTTGAATATCAGTAAAGGGTAAAGATTTTTGATAATGATTATTCGATGATGCTCGCATGATGAAAAGTGAGAAAAAGAAAAATGAAGGCAAGCAAGAATTATTAAATAAGTTAGTTTTAGTTAGATGATTCTACTTTTAGAATACATTATTAGAGAGAAAAAAATACGCGCGATAGAAAATATTAAAAATAAATATTTCATATTTTTAGATTTTGTTATTATTATTTCGATCGAAAAAAATAATAATAAAATATTATCATGGTATGTTTGTTTAAATGGCTATGAAAAAGTTCTCATATAATTTATCTGTAGATTTCTCATATAAAAAATGATGATTTTATACTTGATGATATTGTTTTGTCTGATTTTGGTAAGAAATTATTATTATCTTTTTTTTTTTTTTTTTGAATTAAAATCTATAATCGAGATAGAAGCTTTTTCATTTACGTTAATATTCATGCTGATGCAAGTTATGCAGTTAGCGTAGGGACAGCCCTAATCTAAAGATCGAATTGATCCTTCTCGAGTTCTTGTTTATTGTAGCACATAGTATGTCACTGTGGTCTCAAAAATAAATATTCGTCCTCCCACAGTTTGAAATCAACCCTTCTGAAGAGATTTTCATTTTATTGCGCATTTGAATCCTTATATATTGTTCTAAAAGATTATATACCAACATCAATTATATGATATCAGAAATGTAACTCAGTACTTAGAAGACTTACACTTTGTTAGCAGGTTCTACTCGAAGCATGCGCCTGGTTCATAGATTCGAAGCAACATGTTCTATGTGATACATTATATGTTTGTATCAGAAAACTGTTCTGATGAATATACAAAAAAAAAAGAATGTTTGTGTGCTTTTATCATTTTTTAATATCTAGTTAGCTGTGGTGAACTTGAATGTCTTTTATTTGATAAGCAGATGCATTCTCTTTCGAATGAGGAAAAGGAATTTTGTATTTGATGATCATTATCAAAGCAATTGTGAACTTTCTAGAAAACATTGCCTAGGATTTTTCGAGTTTTGAAAATCTCGAAAATGAAAACAAAAAAAACTCGTTTCTTCCTTCGAATCAGTAAAGAGTTTGTTCTCATATGAGAATAGCTCTAGTACTATACCTTGAAGGTCATTTAAAATAAATGCGAAAACATCGGATTTAAACCCGAGTATTATGTGTACTTCAAAAAGTGAACAGGGATATTCACTTTGTTTTTTATCATCTGAGACATATCCACCCTATTTGCTTTCTACATGCAGTTTTTCTGCATTTTGAGACCTTTTTCAGGGGATGTTTTGTTAGAAAGCTACGATTTGGTTCAAAACTAATATCAGATTCGGAATCAGCATTGAAAACTAAGTCGATTTATATATGTTGTGAATAATTCGGAGAAAAAATTGTTTTTTTGAAAAAATCCCTGTACTCCCCCTCAGGGATGGTCTTGTCAATAATGACAATTTTTTCGATAACTCAGCCATTTCTTGACGGATCCTTCTCATCTTCGAACTCGACCGAGACATTGTTAAGACTGAACTGTGTGGAAATTTTCATTGCGATTGGACTCTCTTTTCAAAAGTTACCGTGTAAACGGCCGGCCGGCCGGACGGACATACTGACCGATTCTAGAGTGTACTCACTTTTTGAGTACACAAAAAATCCTTTTGCATACGTGAACGCCTTGTTTTGTACTTTGTCTCCTGGATATTTCCTTAACAGAAGCGATGTTTAGAACAGTTTTAAATTTAATTGAAGTATATTTTTTCTGTCTACAGCTCAACAGAACCGAACACTGAAAGTGTTATCAGTAAATTGAAAAGCTAAAAGTTATCTTTTAGCAAAAAATCTATTCATAGAATTTGACAAAATATTTCTTGATTTAGAGGAATCGCATGAACGATTACAAAATTTAGTTAATGTCGATTGTGCTTTAGCATTAAGTATTTGCAAGTATGTACTATGTGGACGCTATTTGATTTCAGTTTTTTTTGTGAATCACAATTTGAACGGAGTATTGAAGTATCAAGTGTGTCCCATAATTTATAGATCTCAACAAAAATTAGTGTATATTGTAAACAAAGAGTAACTCTTATCCAACTATATCTATATGAACTTCGAAGATTTAGGATGTAGTGCAGTAGCTTCATTCACATCGTAAATACTACATATCGCTTCGCATAATTGTGCTACACTATGTACAATCAATTCATAGTTCATTAAAACTTCTTAACAAGGTATTGATCGATTATGATTATGGAAGACTCTTTATAGGGTATATCCGTCCTCACAGACAATGGTAGATATTACTATGAGAATGTCAGGAACTATAACGCACGTTTTTAATATACAATCAAAGACCGTATTTCAACAATATCTTGTTAAACAACTTCCTTCTTATATTTGCGGAGGATTAAGAAAAACAAATCTTACTGTGATTAGAAACAGCCACTACATCATATTTCACATTTTAATCCTGCAGGGATTGTACTAACAGTTCTTAAATTGTTATTTTTTCAGGATGCGAAATTTACCATCGTGTGTATTTGTATTAAGTCTCTTATATATGAAACGTCTACGTTCTCTTCATTCATTATCTTTATTAACAAAAATCGATAATTTAACAACAAAAGAAATATATTTAGCAGTAACATTACTTGCTGATAAGTATCTTATTGATGAAGGTGAAGATGAACAATTATTTAACTCGGATTTATTTGAATTAACTGGTATTACAAATGAACGTTTTAATTTAATTGAACGACAAGTTCTATTAGCATTAAATTGGAATTTATTTGTATCGAGTGATGAGTTTAAACAATTTTTTTCTTTATTTAAAAGTCAAATAGCTAAAAGATTAAATAAAAATATTGATATATTAAAAACAGATGACTCAATAAAATTTTATTCACATATTATTGAATATTTTGCATTGACAAGTTTATTTCTAATCGGTATACCTCTTTCGATTTTAATTGCAATTCATATTGGTACTTTAACACATTCGACATTAATGAAAACGTTGAATCCTACAATAGATTGTTCACAATCTTCTATTTCCTATCGAAGTATGTTAAACATGTTTAAATAATTTATCATTTCTTTAAATTCTAGATAATCATGGAAATACAAATTTGAGTCTAATAAAACAAATAAATCATTTTAAAGTAGAGAAGTATCCATTGATTCAAAATAAAATTATAGATAATAATCATGAATTTAATTTATCAACAAATAGATTATCTAATCTATTATTAATTATTCGTTCTTGTTGTTCATTTCATAGTATTCAATCTTCTACATTTAGTAGTACAATTATCGAATGTTTTGGATAAAAAATTGAAATACATATTTTTCTAGATTTTATTTTTTATATTTTGTGATTATCATTGTTTTTTTTTAATGATTCTTGTTGATTTGAAAATTACATTATGAATTTGACTAAAATAAATTTTTTAGCTGAAACAAACTAGATCGATAGGAGAATGAAAAACAAGAATAAAATAATTTATGAAAGAAAAAAATATTATCAATTGTAAAAGTTCGTTTGATTATACATTATCATCACAGCACTCTATTTAATATAAATGATAAGAAACATATAACGAGTGTCCTATTTATTTTATGTTNTGATGACCCTAGTGCTCGGGTTGGGGACGGAGATGGTTACGAAACCGTTACCAGTTACCCGGGAACGTAACGGTAACTTCCCACCCCTAATCACCAGTAATCACCAGTAATCACTAGTAATCATTGGTAATCATTAGTAATCACTAGTAATCATTGGTAATCATTAGTAATCACTAGTAATCATTGGTAATCATTAGTAATCACTAGTAATCATTGGTAATCAAGTAATCAAGTAATCAGTTTGTTCCCCCTTGCCTTAGAGTGTGCGTGTCGTAACTTTTTTTCTTCGAAAAATTTTGACCACCTGCTTGAAGAAAAATCTGTACAGCAGATCGAGATCTATATGATCCACAAGTTCGCTGATTCTGTGGCTCTACGAACAAAAGAATAAGCTAATACTATAAAAAATCCTGCGAAACAGTAAGTGTAACATCACTAACTACCCTTTTCATATAATTACTTTTTACAGGTGTTTGTATATCTTTAATTTTCATGTTCTTTCAAATATATCTAAAAGTTTTTGACTCTAATCATATATGGTTTAGTAGAGAATTTCAAGCACTATCTTTCGCTAAAGAACTGCTGTAATCAAATGAAGAATAGAAGAGAAATACAAAAAAATACACACCGTCTTATTTATTCTGCTCCATCCGTAAGTTGGCTAAAATGTACTTCTCTCTGTAAAGATGACAACAATCGTCTAGTATAAATTAGAAAGAAATATAAGTATTATTTACAAAATATTTCAATGAGATTTTAATTATTCATTTTTATCAATCGTGTTTTTGATCTGGAACATAAACAGCAAAATGGATATTGAACGTTCAAATAATAGTTTATCGTATCTATATGTTTACTTCAGTTTATCTACGAAAGCTTTTATGTCATTTGTTTCAAGTTAAAAACTAATATTTGTCACCAGTATTCAAATTTTAAAAATTTCTCTTCTGGATTGCAGAATATCTCAAACTCATACATACGTTAAATGCACAGCCTTTTTAGTGTTCTTTCCAAAGATAGTTTTTCTTGTAATAAATATTTTAGATCAATTATTTCTCTTTACCCATTAATTTCATCTGAGGATATTTATTATTCATGAAATCCAAAATCTAAGTATTAATTACTCATTCTACTTCCAAAAAACCATGATTTTATGTTTTGTTTTACTTAAATAATAATGAAAATATAAAAGAAAACATTATAATTTCAAGAGAACTTCTTCTAATTGGTTATATGAAGCAAATTGAATGTTTAATTTTATGAAGACATTTATGAAAACAAACCGTACTTTTCTATTCAGAAATTCTAAAATACAGTATTTGAGAAGGCAGTGAAGATTATGTACTATTAAACCAAATATTAGAATTAAATCTTTATATAGTCAATAGTCCACCATTTATCCTGTTAAAACGGACTAAAAAACATGATATAATTTATCTTTTTTTTGTTTAACTCAAATTTCTTATATGGATATATTCAAATATTAATACAGAAAGATATTTATGCTGCACTTTCAGTCTTTTCACTGGCTAAATCCGATTCAGACTCATTGTGCCTATATTGTTGCATAGTCCATTCTAATGTTGATACAAGCTCGACCGTACTTGCAACAGATTCACTTTTCATTTTTTTTCGTCGTTTAGAATGCCAAAAGCCATAGGAAAAATAAATAATTTGACCTAATGCTGTCCACACAAGAAAACGATAAGCTGTTGTTTTTGCTATACCTTTCATAAGAAGTATGCAAAGTAAGGAACCTATGGTTGGAATCAGCCATGAACCAAATGGTACTTCAAATGTTCGTTGCATATCTCTATGAGTATAACGCATCTATCAAAGAGATTTCAGATAACAGAAAAGAAAGACGAATCAACTGAGCTTACGACTATGACTGTAATATGCACAAAAATATATGTAACTAGGGCACTAATTGAAGTTGTTTCACCAAGAATATCTACTGGACAGATACCCGAAAAAATAGCACAAAATACACCTAAAAAATTCCGATAACTTTTAATTATAAATCGTTGAAAAAGAATAGTCACCACTAATTATTATCGAAATCCAGGGAGTTTTTGTGGTCCTATGAATTTTAGCAAAGACTAATGGTAGCAAACCATCATGAGCCATTGCATAAAATATTCGAGTTTGTGAAAGTAATACAGCCAATGCTACAGTTGTAAGACCAGCAATAGCACCCAAATCCATAAGAATTGATAACCAAAGACCGTAAGGTGTAGCTTTTCTATTAAAATTACAACGAATGTCACTAATATTCTTTAACAGACCACTATTAACTTACATTGCTTTAGACAGAGGACTATCTGAGTCTAATAAATCGTATGGAACGAGTCCAACCATCACAGTACATATTCCAATATATAGTAGTAATGAAACAACCGTTGATCCGATAATAGCAATTGGAAGCGATCTCTGTGGTGACTTTGCTTCTTGAGCTACTGTTGAAATTGCATCAAAACCCACATATGCAAAGAAAACATAAGTACATGCTTGTAGCATGCCTGTTACTCCATATTCACTAAACGAACCTACGAGATACATTGAAATCCATTCATTTCTTAGATATATTAAAAATACAATCATCTACCTTCATTCGATGGAAAAAATGGACTGTAATTATCGCGGCTTACATAATTACAACACGCAAAAATGAATATTAAAATTATAATAATTTTAAATACAACCAACACGAGATTAAACATAGCAGTTTGACGAATTCGAATAATAAGAAGAATCGTAATTGCAATAGTGATACCAATGGCAGGTAAATTAATCACTTGACCAGTTGCAAAAAAGCGTTCAGCATCTTCGTCCCAAGCTACTGGTGCCCCGACAATTTTACTTGTTACATTATAATCAGACACAATATCAATAAATAGAGTGACATGCTTGCTCCAAGCAACTGTCACTGTGAACATAGCAAACAGATAAAGTAGTGCAGAATTCCATCCGATAAACCATGCCAAATATTCTAGAAGTATTAAGAAAAACGAGTTTCTTATTAATACGATACTTTTGATTGTTTACCTCCCAAAGCTAAAAATAAAAAGTGTTCATCAAACTAAAATATGTATATGATCAGTAATCTACCTGTATAAGTATACGTGTAAACTGATCCAGAACTAGGCATCATTGCTCCTAATTCTGAATATGATAAAGATGCCAATAACGCAATAACGCCTGTTATAACAAATGAAATGATGACTGATGGACCAGAATATTTTGCAGCAGCTTGTCCACTTAATACAAATATTCCAGCACCTGAAAAGAAGATTCAAAACTGTTATCGCATATATTATTTTCGATCTCACTCACCAATAGTCGCACCAAGACCTATAGCAAGTAATTGAATCCAACTTAGATCACGTCTCAATTCATTTCGTGTATCAATTTCCGCTTGTAATGTTATCATTGGTTTACGTGCTGACAGTTGTTTGAAGAAAACTTTAGTACAAGACAGTACTCGTTTAGCGTTATCATGCTCTGATTGAATCATTGAGTTATTATTCACAGATGTATTGGCAGACATAGTTTGTTTTTGGTCAGTGACAGTTCTAGCCTAGCTTCAGTGGTTATATTTGATATATAGGCTTGACATATTGATGCAAAAAATAAACCATGTTTAGACAGATATTACGATCGATAAATAAAACTTAGATAGGAAGAAAAATAAAGGAAGTAACCGTGACTCAATTAACTAATGATGCGTGAGACCGACTGTAAGGTAATGATAACTCTATATATGTACAAAATTGGAAATGAAACGTACGATAGAAAAAGACGTCATGTCGACTGTCCAATTTTTTTTTCTTTTTTCCTCCATACGGGTTCGGTTCTGTTCTCTCGCATGCATTTTCTCGTGAAGAGGGTGAGACAATATGACTTAATTATTTATTTTTTTCGACTTTTCAACCCGCAATCACTTTCCAATATAGAAANTAACCAACGACCATAAGGTGTAACTTTGCTATAAAAATTACAATAAGCACCACTAATATTCTCTAAACGATTAGTAATGACTTACATTACTTGAGAAAGAGGACTATCTGAGTCTAATAAGTTGTATGGAACGACTCCAACCATCACAGTACATATTCCAATATACAAGAGTAATGAAATAACTGTTGACCCAATAATAGCAATTGGCAGCGATCTCTTTGGTGACGTTGCTTCTTGTGCTACTGTTGAAACTGAATCAAAACCCACATATGCAAAGAAAACATAAGTACATGCTTGTAGCATGCCTGTTACTCCATATTCACTAAACGAACCTACGAGATACATTGAAATTCATTCATTTCTTAGATATAATAAACAGACAATAATGTACCTTTATTCGCTGGAAAAAATGGATTATAATTATTCAGATTAACATAATTGCAACAGGCAAAAATAAATATTAAGAGTATAATGACTTTGATCACAACCAACACGAGATTGAATTTAGCCGTTTGACGAATTCCAATAATAAGAAGAATCGTAATTGCAATAGTGATACCAATGGCAGGTAAATTAATCACTTGACCAGTGATAAAAAAACGTTCAGCGTCTTCGTCCCAAGCTATTGGTGATTGGACAATCACACTTGTTATGTTATAATCAGAAATAATATTGATAAATAGGGTGACATACTTGCCACAAGCATCCGTCACTGTCAAAACAGAGAATAGATAAAGTAGTACAGAATTCCATCCAATAAACCATGCCAAATATTCTACAATGAACAGGAAAAATGAATATCTTATTATAACGACACTTTTGATTGTATACCTCCGAAGGCTAAAACAATAAAAAATGTTCACACAAGCAAAATACATATACGATCAGTAGCTTACCTGCATCAATATAAGTGTAAACTGATCCAGAACTAGACATCATTACTGCTAATTCTGAATATGATAAAGATGCCAATAATGCAATAACCCCTGTTATAACAAATGAAATGATGACTGATGGACCAGAATATTTGGCAGCAGCTTGTCCACTTAACACAAATATCCCAGCACCTGAAAAGAAGATTCAAAACTATTACCACATGTATTATTTCTGATCTCACTCACCAATAGTCGCACCAAGACCTATAGCAAGTAGTTGAATACAATTTAGTACAGATTTAAATACTTGCCTTGTATGAAGCTCAAAGAGTAATTCATACCATGATTTACGTGCTACCAGTTGTTTGAAGAAAACTTTAGTACAAGACAGTACTCGTTTAGCGTTATCATGCTCTGATTGAATCATTGAGTTATTATTCACAGATGTATTGGCAGACATAGTTTGTTTTTGGTCAGTGACAGCTCTAGCCTAGCGTCAGTGGTTATATTTGATATATACTTGACATATTGATGCAAAAAATAAACCATGTATAAAAAGGTATTACAATAGATAATCAAACCCAAGTTGGAAAAAAAGGGAAGTAAACGACTGAATCAATGAATGACGCATAAAAAACATTGCTTAGTCAATGACAGCCCTCTATATGCACTGTATCTGAAATGAAACGTATGACAGAAAACGACATCAGTGTCGACTGTAGCCTGTTTTCTTTAACCCAATTTCGATCCTATGATGTGGCATGCACTTTCTCGTAAGAATGATGGAACGATATGACTTGAATTTGTATTATTTCGACAGTAACAATCATGATCACGCTTCAATACAGAAATATGGACGTAACGAAAGAAATATTGTTGTCTATTCTGTTTCATAACATAGACACGTTTTTTATGATAATCACCTTTTTCGATACTTGATTTCATCAATCAACATGAACGAAGCGTAACTTATTCAGCCATGTATTTAATTCTTTGAGAGAAAAGTATCTTTTTTTCTAATCATTTCTTTCGTTTCTAGATGTAAATCACAATTCATTTCCGCAAATTTAATCAGTAATTATTCTCCTCATTAGATAAAATTATTCCCAGTATCATATAAAATGACAACAAACAAACAAACAATAGATTAAATTTATAATAGCTATTCTTTACTTTGTTTGACTTTTCGATAGATTTTTTCGCTATTGACGATAGATTTTGAAAAGAGTTTTAAATTTATTTCTCGTATAAAATATAATATAAAGAAAAAGGAAATCAATTAACATGAATCAGAAGACAAACAATACATTCAACCAAGATTGACATTCAATTTAAGTTTCAATTATTCTCGGGTAAGTAGCAAATACAACAAACATTTTAATTTATAATCCAAACCCATTTCAATCTATAATTGTAAATTTCATTTACGCCAATTAAGCTGTTTCATAACTATTTTCAAATCACATATAATTTCTCAATCACGGTTCTTATATAATTTTGCTGCTAATCCATTCGATTGATTTAATCGACGAGTAACTTTGACATTAAACATGTTCAAGGTAGAAGAACAGGAAAAAAAGAATGAAATACTCAAACATAATTAACTAAATATTGCCATACCTTACAAGTCGTTTATTGATATCATATAAAGTCAATCACAAGTTAATCTAAATTCTATACAAAAATCGAAATCAATGCGGAATAAAGAGTATGCATAACAATTCTTCATCCTAAATAGATAGAAACAATATCAATACGGACTGGAAAAGTCACGGCAAAGATATGGAAGGTATCGAATCCCATATTACTGATGATAAGATTGAAAATGAAATGCCACTTTATGATATTAAAACAAAACATGAACCATTATCAATAGATCTTCATGAACCTAAAATTGATTTTAATCCGATGACAATTATTTTAGCTAATGGTAATATCATTTTAAAATAATTTTGAAGAAAAGCATTTAATAGATACGATATTAAAAACATTAAATCAAGATATTGAAACAATTCTAGAAGTAAAAAATTCATTTCATTCTACAAATGAATTATACTTCACAATCATCATTATTTACATTACGCTAACATTAGATATTTGATTTTATTCTGAAATATTTTCAAAAATTAATGAATCATATAAATTCTTCATAATTATTTGAAAAGGTATAATTTAAAATTTTGACAGAAATGATTCAGCAATCGCTTTTCAATGTTGGCAATTAATAATATTTATTAATGGATATTCACAAAAAAAAAAACGACGACTATTGACTGTTTCACAAAAATGTCGAATGACTGTTCGCCGCATTGATATTAATTAGAATGACTTATCTTTATTCTATTTTTGCTTCATATATGTCGCTAAAATCAAATGCACATTATATTTACGTATAAAGAATATTTATATCATACTTCTAATGAATCATTATAAGCTAAAAATAAGCAAAGATCTGTTTCGTTTTCGTACAAGATTTTTATTGTAAACTCTCTATAAATTAAATGCTAATAAAATAACGATATAAATTCCGTTGTAATTTTCTTCGAAACCTTTTTTTTTCTTGTTGCTATACAGAAAAAACAACAAATATTTAAGTAAGTTTTGATGTCAAATGCTGTGCTTTTTCTCATTTCTAAAAGCATATTTTGATGCATCATTGTTCTTTTGATACACAGTGTTTATTTGAAGTCCCTCTATGAGATGTACATTTGAACAAATAGAAAATGATTAATAAGATTTCAACAAAAAGCATCTTATATGACATAATATCTATTTATTATTTTGCCTAGAATAGTATAAAGAATTATCGAATGATATCTAAACAGATTATATGTATAGGTCATAGCTTCCGGCATTTCGGGATAAAAATAATGTGCTATTGACTATAATGAATATTGTACTAGCAAGAAAAAAAAACAATTCGGAAATACGTATCAATCAAGTATTTTCATATAATAATATTATCTTATAGAATAGAAAAAAAAATGTTTATTGCATCATTGGTTTGATTGATGTCATCATAATATTGATGGTGAAATAATAAGATAATCACTCTTGGATTCTAATTATAAAAAGAATGACTTTTGTTGCTAATCAAACTATTATTTATACAATTATTTCACATAAATTTTACTAATACAATCAACCTGTTATTCGATACTAATTCACTATAATGAACAATATGATCATTCCAACCAGCTGTTGTATTTTAGTAGATATAAAGACAAAAGAGAAATGTCATTTGAAGGTCAACAAAGGCGCCTGTACAAATTTTTCATGTAACTCAGTTTTCTACTTTGATAAAAACTATCTCAATCCAAAACTATAACAATGTATTTTGGCACGTTAGGTTGTAGAGTAAGGCTTTCTCTACAATAAGATCCAATTCGTTTCGCTGTTCTTAGGTGTTGCAGAAAATGATCAAAATCTATTACATTCTAAATATCGAAATTTGAAAGAAATTCTCTTTTGTCTTTAAAAACTACTGTCAAACATAAGGAGTGAATAGTCGAAAAGTGTATATCGAATTTGGTTGTTTTTGAGTTCTAGCTTACTGCCATGTATGACATAGTAAAAACCAAAAATCTGTGTAACACTAGAAAGTCAAAATTACTTCAAAATCTCATTGAGAGAAGTTATGAATAATACAAAAAAGACTTATTTTGCTTAGTGTAAACAATACTTTTGATTGATTTCAATATTTGCTCGCAGTTAATCCATCGTAAGTCAGTAAAAAAATCTGAACATCCATTTTGAAAGATCATCATATTCTGGTTCTAGCTGAGTACTTTTGAGTTTCTTTATTGATATCAAGATTTCGAAAAAATGAACAAATATTTTTAAAAATATCTTTTAAATTAGTATTTTATACAAGCGTCGGTTTCGGCTGCCAGTAATCGTTTGTTCTGAATAAATCAACTTGAAGCCAGAAGAAAAAACATGTCAATGTATACTAAGGATTTACTGTTGTGTTTCAAATTTATATCGTGGTGAGAGCTGTTGGTGTAAAATTTCACAATGAAAACAGATTTTTAGTCAACTGTTGGTGCATAACACGGTTGCCACATTCTATTTTCAAATGAAGTATAGCTTAAGTGAAATTTTTTTTACAACAGGGTACATCATTTTTTCTGAAAGAGAATGACTAAATTGGAAAAACTATTGAATAAAATTTCTTTTATGAAAAAACAACATCATATTGCACTTTTCTCTATTAGATTTCAACTTTATTGTGCATTTTCCCATAAAAAATACTCTCATATGGAAATAATAATTTTAAAAAAATGGTCATCTATAAAATAATACAAAGTTTTCAATTAAGACATGTTAACTAGTGAATATCTTAGAGTAGGAGTGATCAGCAGATAAGGAAATTTCACAATAAAGTAGTCTTCGTAAGATCTGCCTCAATGCAAGATTTCGAGTGGAAATCCAAAACTCAGTTTTCATGATGTTTCTGAGTGAAACCACAGCATTTTGAAATACAGTTACGTAAAAATACAATATTTGGGTAACAACAAGTTAACAACTCAAATTATTTTCAGGATATTCGTAGTTCATTACGAGCTACATCATGCACATTAAACGAATTCAAAATCGATGTATCACTTGGGAAGCCTCCCTCATCAATACGTTTTATTTCACAACTCAACCTTATTTTTAATTCAGTAGCTATACTTTCATTATTATTGAATTGCGAATAGCTCTTCATAAATGTTTCATTTGACTAAAAGCATATTCTGTAAATGCATTCGAACGAGGAATTGAATGCACATAAGAAACAAGTTTTATTATTTCATCAAAATTTGTTGTGGTTTTTAGAATTAAAAAAGTGGAAAGTTGATCAGGTGTGGATGTGGGATGAATGAAGAGGAAGTCAAAGGCTATACTCTCATTCATACGCTACACGCTTATCATCTATTTAGTAAAAAGTTTTTACTAAAAACTTGAATAATAAATTAATTTTATAAATATTATGTCTAGTGAAACACGATAATAAAATAAGTCAATGAAAAGGAAAAATAAGCAACCCATCGAACTTTATTGTAATTAAAAAATTTTAAAAGTTAAGATTAAATTGAATGAATAAAATAGATGCTAATAATCGTTAGTCAATTTTTCATCACTATTGTTCATTATAGATATCTTTACAACGACGCCATAATCTCCATCAAAAATCACGATTCATTTCAATTAAAGACCATTTAATGGGAGTACAAGCTCAAATATTTAAACGAGGTAGAAAATGTATATCTCAGGGACGCAACTGTTTTGAGAATACAAAATGGCGACATGGATTGTGATACTCTCATGATGGGATACATTTGTTAGCACAGGTACATCATTTTCTAATATGCAAAGATTAAAAAATCTGATAAATTCTTTTTAAATTTAAAAATTTCAGTGTACTATCAATCTTTGCTCCTTCATAAAAATATGGCAAACTATTAGTGAAGTTGTTTAAATCTATTTTAAAATATCTATTCGCATATAATTCAGCAATCAAATTTGATTAAGAGGCTTTTATTTTCAAAATAAATATATTATTTTCTCATGATAGAAACTTTTACAGGCAAAACTATCATTTTTTTGGACCCAATGAAGATATCGATAAACAGAAATGCCTTAGATATTATAAAGTTGTAAGCAGATAGAAGCCATTTTCTGCTGATATAATTCTTTTTTTTTGTACGACTATTAAAATGAAACGCTTAATTATTATGTAATAACCTACTTATTTTCGAAGAATAATTTCACTTCTTACTTTTTTGGTTGCTTTGCTCATTTTCATATTATTTTGCAGAAAAACAAAAACATTTTTTAATTATACCATTAATTTTGATTATATATTTTGATAATATCATTGTCAATGAAGTTATTTTTCTAAATTTTTATTTAACATTGAATGACTTTGACACGACACATATATGACGTATAATACAATTGATGTCTTTTTATTTTTATGCACTATCTTGTCTTTTAATAACTGCAATCGTCTAATATGCATGACAAAGAAACATAAGTAATTTTTCAAAGAACTTTCACAAGACTTTGATTACTGGTTTTTATCAATATTGTGCTTTCGATTTGCAATACAAACAGTAAAATGAATGTTGATCTTTCAATAAAAGTTTGCCTTATCTCAATACTACAATTCAATTTATTCATGGTATTTTTCATTTTAACATATCTTCGATAAAAAACCAATATTTGTAATATGAAATCAAGTTTTTAAAATTTCTCCCCCAGATTACAAAATATTTCAAACTCACGTTTTCGTTCAAGGCATAGTCTTTGCACCGTTCTCTTTCCCAAGATAATATTTCTTGTAGTGAAAATTTTAGATCGATTATTTCTCTCATAGATTGATTTCATCTAACAGCATTTAATAATTAAGAATTACAAAATCTAAGGTTTAACTATCCAATCCATTTTCAAAACCATGATTTCATGTTTTATTTTCCTAAAACAATAATGAGGAGACAGAAAAATATATTCTAATTTCAAGAAAGTTTTTGAAATTGATTATGTAAATAAAATTGGACACTTTATTTCACAAACACATTTATGAAAAAAAAACTGTTGTATTCAGCAGTTTTAATAAACCATATTTAAGTAGACGGTGAAGATTGTATACTCTCAAAATAAATATTACATAAACTGTTATATAGTCAGTAATGAATCTAATTTATTATGTTAAACTGAATTAACAAACATGATGTAATTTATTTAGCTTTTGTTCCATTCAAATATTCTATATCGATATCAACAAGTATTTTTAGTAAAGGAAGTTTTTTTTTATGCTTCACTTTCCGTATTTTTACTGACTAAATCCGATCCAGATCCATTTTGAGGGCATCTTTCCGTAATACTTTCTGCTACTGGTACAAGGCCGATCGTATTCGCAATAAATTCACTTTGCATTAAATTTCGTCGTTTAGAATGCCAAAAACCATAAGAAAAATAAATAATTTGACCTAATGCTGTCCATACAAGGAATCGATAACCTGTTGTTTTTGTTACACTTTTCATAAGAAGTATACAAAGTAAAGAACCTATAGTTGGAATTAGCCATGAACCAAATGGTACTTCAAAAGTTCGTGGCATATCTCTATGACTATATCGCATCTATAAAAGATATTTCAGATGACAGAACAGAGAAATAAACCAATTGAACTTACGACTATGACCGTAATATGTACGAATATATATGATATTAGGGCGCTAATTGAAGTTGTTTCACCAAGAATATCTACTGGACAGATACCCGAAAAAACAGCACAAAATACACCTTAAAGTCAAAATGAATTTTATTCTATAAATTGTATAAAAAAGAATAATTACCGCTAATTAGTATCGAAATCCAAGGAGTTGCTGTAGTCTTAAGAATTTTAGCAAAGACTGGTGGTAGTAAACCATCATGAGCCATTGCATAAAATATCCGAGTCTGTGAGAGCATTACCGTCAATGCTACTGTTGTAAGACTAGCGATAGCACCCAACTCCATAAGAATTGATAACCAAAGACCATAAGGTGTAGCTCTTCTATAAAAATTACAAGTACCACTGATACTCTTTAACAGATCACTAATTGCTTACATTGCATCGGAAAGAGGACTATCTGTGTTTAATGAACTATATGGAACGAGTCCAACCATCACAGTACATATTCCAATATAAAGTAGTAATGAAACAACTGTTGACCCGATAATAGCAATTGGAAGCGATCTCTGTGGTGACTTTGCTTCTTGTGCTACTGTTGAAACTGAATCAAAACCAACATATGCAAAGAAAACATAAGTACATGATTGCAGCATGCCTGTTACTCCATATTTACTAAACGAACCTAAGACATACAACAAAATTCGTTCATTTCTTGGATATATCAATGGGATAATGATGTACCCTTATTAGGGGGAAAAAATGGATTATAATTATTGCGATTGACATAATTACAACATGCAAAAATGAATATTAAGAGTACAATAATTTTAAATACAACCAACACAAGATTGAATATAGCCATTTGACGAGTTCGAATAAGAAGAAGAATTGTAATAGCGATAGTAATCCCAATAGCAGGTATATTTATCGCTTGACCGGTCAAATAAAAATGTTCGGCGTCTTCGTCCCAACCAACTGGTGCTTGGACAATCATGCTTGTTACATTGTAATCAGACACAAGATCAACAAATAGAACGACATGCTTGCTCCAAGCAACTGTCACTGTCAAAACGGCGAATAGATAAAGCAGTGCAGAATTCCATCCAATAAACCATGCCCAATATTCTACAATGAATCAGAAAAAGCAAATGTCTAATAGAAATACCTTTGATAGTATACCTCCCAAGGCTAAAGCAATAAAAGAAATGGTTTATGAAAGAAAGATACGTAGAGGAGCAGTATCTCACCTGCATAAGTATAGGTGTAAACTGATCCAGAACTAGGCATCATTGCTCCTAATTCTGAATATGATAAAGATGCCAATAATGCAATAACCCCTGTTATAACAAATGAAATGATGACTGATGGACCAGAATATTTGGCAGCAGCTTGTCCACTTAACACAAATATCCCAGCACCTGAAAAGAAGATTCAAAACTATTACCACATGTATTATTTNCTGAATATGATAAAGATGCCAATAATGCAATAACCCCTGTTATAACAAATGAAATGATGACTGATGGACCAGAATATTTGGCAGCAGCTTGTCCACTTAACACAAATATCCCAGCACCTGAAAAGAAGATTCAAAACTATTACCACATGTATTATTTTCTATCTCACTCACCAATAGTCGCACCAAGGCCTATAGCAAGTAGTTGAATCCAACTTAGATCACGTTTCAATTCATTCTGTGTATCAATTTCAGCTTGTAATATTATCATTGGTTTACGTGCAATTAGTCGTTTAATGAAAAATTGAATACAAGACAGTAGTCTTTTACTTGCTCTGTGTTCTGATTGAATCCTTGAATTATTATCAACAGTTGTATCAGCAGACGCAAGCATTTCTTGGTCAATTGTAGTCGTAGCGTAGTCTCAAAACCTATATTTGGTATATATATACCTGCAACGTTTATGCATAAAGTAAACCATGTATAAATAGGTATTACGATTTATAAGCAACCCATACGTTGGAAAAATACAAAGAAAATAAACGTGACTCAATTAACTAACGGTGCGTAAAACACATTATACATTTAATGGTAACTTTTCATATGTAGAAAATTTCCAATGAAACGTTTGATAGGAAAAAAAGACGTTATTATTGACTGCCTTGTTTTGCTTCTTTTTTCTTTCATCCTGCTTCAGTCGTACGTTCTCTCACATGTATTCTCTCCTTAACATAGTAGGACGATACACCTTGATTATGTATTTTTTTGACTGTACAAATCCCGATCACATTTCAATATAGAAATATGCATCTAACGAAAAAAATGATGTCACTCTTCCATTTCATTTCATTACATAGACATGACTTTAATCAAAATAATATCTTGACAATACCTGATTTCGTCAGTCAGTATAATCGAAGCGTAATTTATTCGATAATGTGCCGCGTCTTTTTTTCAACAAGTCGCTTGGTTTTTTCGAATGATTTCTTGCGTTTCTGGATGTTGATTACTATTCTGCTAGCAAAGTAACCAATAATGATTCTCCTCATTAGATAAATATATTCTCGATATCATACAATATCACAATAAAGAAACAAAAAAATTAATATATGGAAGTCGTTCTTTATTTTCTTTGACTTTTATTCAACAGACTATATCTTATTGACGATGCATTTGAAAGAATAATTTAAACTTGTTTTGAGTATAAAATATAGTACAAAAAAAAATTAATTAATATGAATCACAAGACAAAAAATACATTCAAGCAAGATAGGATTCAATCTAAGTATCATTAATTCTTCAATAAATAATAATTTCAAGAAAATATTTCAATTTATATTGATACCCGAATTGAATCTATAATTGGAAATTTCATTTCTGTAAATCAACTTATTGAATAACTATTTTTGAATCACATATGGTTTCCTGATCATGGTGATTATTATCTAATGTCATTGCTGATACATTCGATTAATTTTAAACGAAACGTAACATGACATTTAATATGTTTAAAGTAGGACAATAGAAAAAAAAACAACGATGAAAAGATCGAGCATGACTAATTAACTACAGTAGTATCATGCTTTACAAGTCGTATATTGGTATGAAATAAAACCAATGACAACTTAATATAAACTCTAATGAACATCAAACTTAATACGGACTAAACAGTATGCATAACAATTCTTCATTCTAAATAGATAGAAACAATACCAATATGTACTACTGTAAACAGCATGGTAAAAAAATTTCTTTTTGGCAACTGCCATCAGCAATATTTTCATCCATGCAATGTATTAAATCCAACCATATTCATGATATTGAAACAGAGAATAAACCATTATCTATTGATCTTAATGAAAATGAAATTGATGTTAATCCGATGACAATTATATTAGCTAATGGTCAACCATTATTAACAAATTTTGAAGAAAAGTATTTAATAGATACTATAGTAAAAACATTAAATAAAGATATTGAAAGAATTCTAGAAGAAAAAAATTCATTTTATTCTACAAATGAATTATACTTCACAATCATCATTATTTACATTAAGCTAACACTAGATATTTGATTTTAATCTGGCTCAAACATTCTCAAACTTCTATAATTCATGTAAATTTTTCACAGCTATTTGAAAATTTTTTAAATAATAATAATTCAACAATGGATTTTTAACATTGGCAATTAAAAACATTTTTTGATGAACATTCAAAACAACAACAACTTGCTGTCTCACAAAGAATGTTGAGTGACTGTTTGATGCATTTACATTAATTACATTGACTTGTGTTTATTGTATTTTCTGGTGTGGGTGTAGATTAGCAAGAGCTACACCCACATCCATACCCCCACTCCACCCACACCCACACCCACACCCACACCCACACCCAACTGTTCTTTGCTGGTAGATATAAAAACAAAAAAGAAATGTCATTTTTCTTAAAAGTGACGGTCAAACAAATTTGTGTACTACTTATAGTCAATTGATCAAGTTATAGTTTATGAAACGATGAGTGTCTAATATTATAGAATTTTTTATAGTTCTGCCATTGATATATCTAATAACCTATTTGTGTATTCAATTATGCACTAGTTTTACTGATGACACTAATGCATGCTATCATCGGATAATCTGAGTTAGCTGTCGATTCAAGTTTCTGCAAACAGGATTTACACCATTGACTGAATCAACTAAGGAATACAGCGAGTCAGATGTAGCTTGGCGAGATTTATGAAATGCTGCACTCAAATATTATTTATGAAAGCTAAATTATTGCTTTTCTACTATAGGATATAACAATCAAAGAAAGTTTCTGCTGTTGGAACCTGTTCATGGAAATAGTTTTAGAGAGAGTGAATTTTCTGGCACGTACATGGCCTATCTAGCAAATGTCTATGGACCACTGTGCAGCTTCCACACCTACATCCTTCATATTTTGGATAATCTTAATCTACATATATATTCTACTTAGAAATAGAGTTATTTGAAAAACCTGATATGCAATGAGACCGTTTATATCATAGGAACCGATAGCTCTAGTTCGATGAGTAAAAAATTTAACACATATAATCGAATTGGTACCCTTGTTTGTACCTTATTCATCAGTTCGTGTGATCACATTAGGTATTCATTGGCGTTCACTGTATACCTTTCAAAAACTTACCAATACTCTGGAGTTTGACGTCTAAAAAGAGTTATAAAGCCACGTGTGATTCAAACGTGGTTCCTGAATTCCATGAAGTTAACTATGTTTTCATGATGACGAATATTTTTTTGTAAACTGCCAGCAAAACGATACTATAGAGAAATAGTTTGTTCAAAAAAAGACGCAACTATATCATATCCAGGTACAAAGTTTTCGAAGAACGGTGCATATATTATTGAATTTAGCTGAACAAAATTCTTTGAATTAATTACGTTTTAAGATTGTTTCAGATGAAAAACTGTCGCCAAACAAAATACACAGATAATAACAGTCTTTGACACGTTAGAAATTCTCATCAATAACTTTTTATTTTCACTATAATGAGACATATAGTAATCGATAGAACTCAGCGACCTAAGTTTCATTAATGTTTCAAGCAATGAAGAGAATCATCAAAAAAAGCCTTTTCTAATTGATTTTCCATTTTGTAGAAATTCAATATTTTAGCTTTTATTTAAAAAATCTGAGTGCAGCAGTTGATGAAAGACAGAGCCCGTCAAGTTGCATCTAGATCGCTGCACTAGTGAGTTGACTCAGGCAGTGAACTGAGTCGTTTTTGAAAAACCTCAAATCGGCTGATCACTTCTCTGACATGCATGAATATCTTTTCTAAAACATTCTTTACAATCGTGGACCAAAACATAACAACAGTTTTTATTTTAGAGATTTCAAATACAGGCTAACAACGCCAAAAACATTGAAACGACTGCGGAGAGATAGACCATCAAGTTCTCTGTATTGTGATATAAAATATTTCACTTTTAAAGCTTGCATGAATTAGTATATGCTCGCAGAAATTGTCAAGTATCAAGAGAAAATAGAAAATCGCGCTCACATTATTCAGCAGATGTTGTTCTTTTTAATTTTTAAGCGATAAAGACTATATTTTGGAAAAACACAATTGACTGTTCTGTAGAAAATTAAATTCTCTGTCAAATGAGCATAGACACAGCATTTAAATGCGACTCTAAATTGTCCTTTAAGAAAGAAACAGAAACAGATCACCTATTATGAATTGCCTGATTAATCTATATGCCTGATGGTCAGTTCATAAGAACCTTTAATAATTAAATCTGTTGATTTAAATTTGCACATAAGTTAACATCGAAAGGTAAAGATTTAGTAAAACAATTATTACTCAATTCTGTTTAGTAACGAATCTGTTGTGTTTTTTTTCCATTTAGTCGTGTTTCTCATTGTATACAACGGCTGCATGATTCAATCGAATTTGATCTTCAATTTCATCAATTTGATGCGTTTTGTTTATATGATGTAACAGATGTATTTAAACAATCTTCTTCCGTCTCACTTCAAGGTTAATTTAGAACAACTTTATCTACATTGTTTCTTCATAGAAATGATTATTTTTTATCGATTGGTAAAACTTTTATAAAAATAACTAATCAGTTTCATTTACTTGCTTCACAGTATGCTAGTTTTTTTACATGATGAAAATCGTCTTATTTTACATTTACTTCTATCATATTAAAATGATGTTTCAAAACGTTTTGAAAAGAAATCAAATGAGTACAAATAATTTTTGCAACATGTTTTGCTGAACCTCATTGTAATTTCATAATTGTTATAAAACTTTATCAACGGTTATGCCAAATTTAATAGAAATTCAAGAAAAACGTAAAGCAGTTGATATACTTCTACGTTTATGATTGGTCACAGTCGTTTGTTATTTATTGTTTGTAATAAATTACAGCAGTCATGTCATTTTTCTTATATTGAAATTGGTGAGCCATGTACATTCGAAGAATTATCACATCGTATTCTTGACAAAGTCACAAAGATCCAGAAAAAAACTAATAGTCTATTCAAGAATAAGGAACATCAGATATCAATATAAATGTGAATGCTTAGTAAACTCTTCCAATAGAATATGAAATTTTATACGAGAGCCAGTAGTTATTATTTAAAAAGATTTCAATAATATATATGGCTTTTTATTCTTTTGGAACTTCTGTCTTTCGGAGTTTTTTCGTATTCCACCGAAGAAGTTAAACAATAAAAAAATGACATGAAATTGGTGAAAGGAATACAAAAATTGATGTACATCCAATTCATCGATTATATATATTAGATATTTTCATTGATCCCATTGCTTGATTTTGATTAAAAATGAAATTCACTGCATTTGTTTTATGAAAATATCACTTTTCATTGATGAAATTTGAAAACATCAATTGTTTTCATCCGTTTCATCAAGATAAGAGCCATTTTTTTTAGTATTTTTGATAGAAAATTCACGAAAGTCATGGATTTTTTTCTTTTTGACTTCCTGAACACAATGAATATAGGGGATGGACCAGAATAAAGTAGACGGTTTGTATTTTTATTGATTCTCCTTTATTCTTCACTCGATTGAAAAACTTTTTTAATCAAAAGATTACTCGGAAAATTCTCGAGAAAAACTGTATACGATTGAACCCACAAGCATTTTAGATATATCTGAAAAAAGATGAAACTTGAAGACATACAAACACTAAAAACTAACCATATGAAAAGGGTGATTAGTAATGTCATACTTACTTTTTGACAGGATTTCATACAGCACTAGCTTCCTCTTTTGTTCGTACGACCACAGGACCAACGAACTAGTGGACTATGTAGATCCCGATATCCTGTACACCTTTCTCTTCAGAGAAATGGTCAAAGTTTTGCTCAGGAAAAAGTTATGAGTTTCAGAAGAGTAACAGCATCATTCTTTTTTTTTAAAAATTGATGCTCTTAGAGTGTCCATGTCGTAACTTTTTCCTTGAGTAAAAATTTGACCATTTTGCTGAAAAAAAGTTTTACAGCAAATCAAGACCGACCCAATCGACTAGTTCATTACTCCTGTGACCATACGAACAAAAGAGCAAATGAATACTATAAAAACTTCTGCCAAAGAGTAAGTGTGACATCAATAACCACCGTTTTCATATAATTGGTTTTTACAGGTGTTTGTTTGTCTTCAATTTTCATCTTCATTCAAATATATCTAAAAACGTTTTTAGATCCAATCATATATGGTTTTCCAGACAATTTCAAGCGCTATATTTGATTTAAAAAGTGTCTCAATCGAGTGAAGAATAAAGAAAAAATAGTAAAAGATACAAACAGTCTAATTTATTCTTGTCCACTCGTTAGTTAACTAATGTACATGTCGAAAAAGATGCAAAAGAAAAGCAATATTAAATGATTTTCATAGAACGAAACACTTTGACTATTTCAATTAAAACCATCATAATGAAGTTTCGTTTTCTTTTTCTTTTTCTCTGTCTATTCCGTTTAAATGCATCTTCCTTATTGTAATGCTAGACAAAAACTTTCAAAGCAATATATGTATGTGGCGTATGACTCTCCATTGATACTGTTTAATTTCTATTGGTTCCCTCGTCTTTTGGGGACAAGAGTCATCTAGTATGAACGAGAACGAAACATAAGTAATTTTACAAAACATTTAAATAAGATTTTTGTTAATGGATTTTATCCATTGTGTTTTCGACTTGCAATACAAACAGGAACATATATACTGACCTTTCAAATAAAACTTAGTTTTATCTCAACAACTTAATTCAATTTATCTATAGTAGGTTTAATGTCATTTGTTCGAAGTTCAAAACTAAAGTTTCTCATAAGCACTCAAATTTTTAAAACTTCTGTTTTAGACCACACAATATCTACAATTAATATTTTCACTTAATGCACAGCTTTTTATCCTGTATTCTTTTAAAAGATAATATTTCTTGTAATGAAATTTTTGAATCGATTACTCCTCCTTACCGATTCATTTTATCTCAGAATATTTATTATGCATAAAATCAAAAATCTAAGTTTTAACTATCCACTCTACTTTGAAAAACATGATTTAATGTTTTCTTTAAAAAAAATAATGAGAACGTAAAAGAATACACTCGACTTTCAACCACAGTTCTTCTAATAGGTGACGCATAGAAAATCAAATGTTTTATTTTACGACGACACTCATGCAAACAAGCAATAGTGTTCTTTTCAGCAACCCTAATGAACACAATACAGAAACACGGTACTGATTATATATTCTCAAATCAAATATTACAATAAAATGTTTTTGTAGTCAATAGTCAATCATGCATTGTATTAAATCCAATTGACAAACATGATATAATCTTCTTTTTTTGGTTTTATTTAAATGTTTTATATTTATACCAACAACTATTAATACAGAAAGTTTTTATTCTGTACTTTCAGCATTTTCACCGGCTAAATCCAATTCAAATCCATCATTAGTATTTTCTTTTTCAATACTTTCTTCTGTAGGTGCAAGCTCAATCGTACTTCCAACAAATCCATTTTCTATTAAATTTCGTCGTTTAGAATGCCAAAAACCATAAGAAAAATAAATAATTTGACCTAATGCTGTCCATACAAGGAATCGATAACATGTTGTTTTTGTTACACCTTTCATAAGAAGTATGCAAAGTAAAGAACCTATAGTTGGAATTAGCCATGAACCAAATGGCACTTCAAAAGTTCGTTGCATATCTCTATGTGTGTAGCGCATCTATAAGAGACGTTTCAGATGATAGAATAGAGAAATAAACTAATTGAACTTACGACTATGACCGTAATATGTACGAATATATATGATATTAGGGCGCTAATTGAAGTTGTTTCACCAAGAATATCTACTGGACAGATACCCGAAAAAACAGCACAAAATATACCTTAAAAAATTCCTATAACTTTTAATGATAAATCGTACAAAACGAATAGTCACCGCTAATTATTATTGAAATCCAGGGAGTTTTTGTGGTTGCATGAATTCTAGCAAAGACTGGGGGTAGCAAACCATCATGAGCCATTGCATAAAATATTCGAGTTTCTGAGAGCATCGCCGTCAATGCTACTGTTGTAAGACTAGCGATAGCACCTAGATTCATGACAATTAATAACCAAAGACCGTAAGGTGTAGCTTTTCTATTAAAATTACAACGAATGTCACTAATATTCTTTAACAGATTACTAATAACTTACATTGCTTGAGAAAGAGGACTATCTGAATTTAATAACTCGTATGGAACAAGTCCAACCATAACAGTGCATATGCCAATATAAAGAAGTAGTGAAATAACTGTTGAGCCGATTATAGCAATTGGTAGCGATCTCTGTGGTAGCCTTGCTTCTTGTGCTACTGTTGAAATTGAATCAAAACCCACATGTGCAAAGAAAACATAAGTGCATGCTTGTAGCATGCCTGTTACTCCATATTCACTAAACGAACCTAAGACATACAACGAAATTCGTTCATTTCTTGGATATATCAATGGGATAATGATGTACCCTTATTAGGTGGAAAAAATGGATTATAATTATTGCGATTGACATAATTACAACATGCAAAAATGAATATTAAGAGTAGAATAATTTTAAATACAACCAACACAAGATTGAATATAGCCATTTGACGAGTTCGAATAAGAAGAAGAATTGTAATAGCAATAGTGATTCCAACGGCAGGTAAATTTATCGCTTGACCAGTCAAATAAAAATGTTCGGTGTCTTCGTCCCAACCAACTGGTGCTTGGACAATTATGCTTGATGCATTGTAATCAGACACAAGATCAACAAATAGAACGACATGCTTGCTCCAAGCAACTGTCACTGTCAAAACGGCGAATAGATAAAGTAGTGCAGAATTCCACCCAGTAAACCATGCCAAGTATTCTAAAAATAATAACAAAAAGCAAATCTCCCTTAACAGTACTTGTGATTGTATACCTCCCAAGGCTAAAAATAAAAAAAAACTGTTCATGAATGAAAGATACGTGAATGATCAGTGAATCACCTGCATCAGTGTAAGTGTAAACTGATCCAGAACTAGGCATTATTGCTCCTAATTCTGAATATGATAAAGATGCCAACAGCGCAATAACACCTGTTATAACAAATGAAATGATGACTGATGGACCAGAATATTTTGCTGCAGCTTGTCCACTTAATACAAATATTCCAGCACCTGAAAAGAAGATTCAAAACTATTGCCGCATGTATTGTTTTCGATCTCACTCACCAATAATAGCACCAAGACCTATAGCAAGTAATTGAATCCAACTTAGATCACGTCTCAATTCATTTCGTGTCTCAATTTCAGCTTGTAATGTTATCATTGGTTTACGACGAGTCAGTCGTTTGAAGAAAATCTTAGTACCAGACAGTACTCGTTCAGTAGCATTGTGCATTGAGTGAGTCATTGAGTGTTTATACACAGGTATATCGGCAGACAGAGATAGTTTTTGGTCAATTACAATTGTAGTCGAGTGTCAGAAGTTATATTTGATACATATATATATATATATATATGCTTGTAATATGCAAACACTAACTCATGTTTAGACAGATAATACGGTCGATAAAGAAAACTTAAGTTGGAAGAAAAATAAAGGAAGTAACCGTGACTCGATTAACTAATGGTGTGTCAAAGTGGTCGTAAAGATAATGATAATTCTATGCATGTACAAAATTGAAGACGAAAGGTACGATAGAAAAAGGCTTTACAGCCAACTGTTGTTTTTTTTCTTTTTTCTTACATATAGTTGCCGTCCCATGTTGTCTCACGTTTATTTTCTCGTGAAGATGGTGAGACGATATGGCTTAATGAGTTATTTTTTCGACTGTGCAAAACACAGTCATTTTTTAGTAACAGATATATATGCATGACGAAAAAAATATTATGCTGCATATCATTAAAGATGCAATCTCAATCAAAAAATGCTTATTCAATACTTGATTTATTCAGTCTAAATCAATGAAGCGTAATTTATTTGGTCATGTCTTATTTTTTCTGCGACAACAGTGTTCATTTTTTTGATTAATCTCGTTTGTTTCTACATTTTAACTACTATTATTTCTACAAAGTAATTAATAATTAATTCTCTCATTAGATAACATATTCATGATATCGTACAATCTCACCGCAATCAAACAAAAGACTAAATGTGTAGAAGTCGCTCTTTATTTTCTTTCACTTCTCTGCAATAGACAATCAGCTATTGACGATATACTTGGAAAAAAAATTATTTTTCGTAGAAAATATATTATAATAATTACAAATAAATTAATATAAATCAGAACGACAACAAAAAACACATTTAATCAATACTAATATTCAATTCACGTTTCTGTTGTTCTTTGCTAAATAATAAATTCAAAAAACATTTTGATTGAAGCTCATATTGAAATTCAATCTATATTGATAAATTTTATAAGCGCGAATCAATCGGTTCAATAACTATTTTCGAATCAGATATGATTTCTCAATCATGATTATTGTATAATTTCATTGCGAATTCATTCGATTGATTTAAATGAAAAGTACCATGAGATACAACATGTTCAAACTAAAAGAATCGAGAAAAATAAGAATGAAAAGATCGAGCATGACTAATCAATCATTGCCATGCTTGAAAAGTGGTTGTCTAATATGAAATAAAACCAATAGCCAGTTAACATAAAATCCATAGAGAATCGAAATCAGTACGGACTAAACAGCATGCATGATAATTCTTCATTCTAAATAGATAGAAACAATATCAATACGTACTGGAAAAGTTCAGGCAAAGAAAATTTCTATTCGTCAAGCAACACCAGAAATATATTCATCCATGAAAGTTATAAAATCAAATCTTATTCATAACATTGAAATAGAGCAGAAACCATTATATATTAATCTTAATGAAACTAAAATTGATGCTAATCTAATGAAGCTTATTTTAGCTAATGGTCAATTACTTTCAACTAATTTTGATGAAAAATATCGGACAAATGATATATTAAAACTATTAAATAAAGATATTGAAATAATTCTAGAAGAAAAAAAAATCCATTTCATTCTAGACAAATGAATTATACTTCACAATCATTGTTACTTACATTAAATCTACATTGAGTATCTTATTTGATTTTTAAATATTCTCAAATTTTTATTCTTCGTATAAATTCTTCACAATTATTAGCAATTTTTTAAATAATAATAATTCAACAATCGCTTTTTAACATTGACAATTAGGAACATTTGTTGATGAACATTCAAAACAACAACAACAGACTCTATGACAAAAACGTCAATTGGCTGGTCGACGCATTTACATTAATTAGACTGACTTGTGTTTATTGTATTTTCGTTTTATATATATCATTGAAATCAAATACACATTAGACTTATCGATAAAGAATATTTTTATCATATTTCTAATGAATCATTAAGATGAAAATAATCAAAGGTCTACTTTATCTGCGTACAAGAAATTTATTGAAAAATCTTTGTAAATCAAATGATAATAGAGTAATGTTGTAATTTTCTGTGTAATTTTCTCCAAAACTTTTTATTTTTCTTGTTACACAGAGAAAACAACAAATATCTATGCAATTTTCTATGTAAGATGCTGTATTTTTTTCTCATTTCTGAAAGTACAGTGAGTTGTGTCATTGTTTATTTGATATATATAGTTAATCTTAATTTTCTCTATGATATATACATTTTAAAAAATAGAAAATAATTTATAAGCCTTTGGTGATAAACATCTTATATGACAGTATATTTATATTTATTATTGTGGTAAGAATAGTATAAAGAATTATCGAATGATAAATAAGTTGATTATATAAATAGATCAAAGCTTCGAGTATTTCTTGATGATCATACTGTTATATTGACTATAATAAATATTGCACTAGCAAGAAAAAAACAAATCGAAATGACGTATTAAACTAGTATTTCTATATCATAATATTACCTTGATAGAATAGAAAAAAAGATTTTATTCTATTACTGATTTGATTGACGTCATCATAATATTGTTGATGAAATAATAAGATAGTAACTATTTGATTCTAATAGTAAAAAGAATGACCTTTGTTGCTAAACAAACTATTATCTATACAATTATTTCATATAACTTCTACTGTGGCAATCAATCTTGATTTCAGTATTAATCAATTGTAAAAAACGACATGATTATTTCAACGAGCTGTTGTATTCTAGTACATATAATAACAAGAAAAGAAATGTAATTTCTCCTAAGACCGCCCAACAAACAAATTGTTGTGCTATTCATAGTCAGTTGAGTAAAGTATAGTGTATTAATCAATTACTATCGAATACAAAAGAATTTTTTTAATTGTTTTTTTTTTATATGTCTAATAACTTATTGATGTATTCATTCATGCATTTGTTTTACTGATGACGACAATTCATTCTATCATCAGGTAAGCGAAGTTAGTGGTCAAGTTTTTACAAACACGATTCCTCCCATTGAATGAGTCAAGTGATGAATGCGACGAGGCCGATGCAACTTGGTGAGGTTTATGAAATGCTGCACTCAGATATTCTTTATGAAAGGTAACCGACAGAAATGCAAGCTCTTCTGTGACTATTCGCTACACTATTTGAATCACTGATGAAACAACTCGATGAAAGCAGTTCTATCGAATAGTGTATTTTTCTTTCTATTAAGGACAAAACTTCATGACTAAGAGCTTTCTAACTTTTGATATAAAATATTTTACTTTTAAGCGTTGTATGAATCGATACACGCTTGCAGAAACCATTAGATATCAAAAGAAAATAGAAGATCACACTCACATTATTCAGCACATATTCAGCTTTTTAATTTTTCATCGACAAAGAAAACATTTTTGAAAAACAAAACCGACTGCTTTGTAGAGAAATAAATTCTCTATCAAATGAGCGTAAAAACAGATTTTTAAAGCGACTTTAAAGTGTCTTGAAGAACAGAATAGATAAAGGGAATTTATTATGGGCTACCCGATTGTTCTGTATGGCTTATAGTCAATTCATAGAAATCTTTAACAACAAAATTCATTGATTTAAGCTTGTAAATATATTAACATCGAAACGCAAAAGGTTCAAGAAAACAATTATAATCCACTTCTATACAGTAATGAATCTGTTGTTTTTTCTTCTTTAGTGGTGTTTCTCATCGTATAAAACTTTCTTATGATTTGATTTAATATGGCCTTGAATTTGATCAATTTGATAATTTCAGTCGATATGATGGATCAGATGTATTTAAATAGTATTTTCTTTTATCATTTGAATGTTTATTTGCAACAAATTATCTCTATTATTTCTTCATATAATTAAACCTTATCCTCGCCTGATTCCTGTACAAGACTGTGTCACATATATGGAAACTGGAGTTTATGAAGTGTAAATTAAGAACCTCTCTTCTGTTAAACATTTTACCGATTCTGCATTGTGAGTAATTAACGTTTTCTTCCTTGAAACTATTTAGTTAGTGTAATGATAGAGTAATCATCACAAACAACTTGACTGTATTCACTATCTTCTTCTTATTGATATCAGTCAATAATGTATCTGTAGTGTTTTTTATTGAGTAGAGACATACAGATTTCAGGCTGTCAACAAAAGATATGTGTGACAAATAAAAAGTGTCATTACATAATTGTCTTGTGCCAACTGCACAATATCGAAGGGTATTGAACGCTCATTTAGTGCCGCAAACTAAATAATCTCTTAGCATGGATCAAACATCATACTGAACGTAAGAAAAAACTTTTCTGAGTTCAATGAAGAAAATAAATAGAAAATAGTTAAAAGACTCAAGAAGATAAATTATATCGGCAGCTGATACACGTCGTAAGTAAGATACAAGAGACAAACAACACAATGATTTGCACAGAAGAAAAGGTTTTAATCATTCGAATTCAGAAAAACAATAACGAAATTACAGTTTTCTCTCTATATGAATACATCTTTACCGTTGTTGTGATAGCCCATGGAAATTTCCAAGCGACCAATGCTTCTTCTCTGTTGACTGCTGATTTTCATCAACCAATGCATACAGTGAGGGCCCAAAAAAGCATGCACTTTTTTATTTCTATACATAAACCAATAATAAGGATGTTCTAAAAATTCTCTTTTATATCTAGTTTTGTAGAGTTTTTTTCGCTGATCATTTTGGTAAAAAAGCTTTTTGATTTTCTTTGAGTAATGACAATGTTATAGTCAAAATACTAAACACTATAGTAAAAAGTAGGGAGAAAGTTTAGCATACTTTTAGTATTTGGCTAATTTTTACGTTATTTCATAACATCTGAAAGATGTTTTGTATACCAGTCGATGCAGAATTTAATGGACTACATTTTAGTAGAAAGTACTTATACTTATATTGTAGTTATTTAATTAATTAATAGTTAAATGGTAGCTAAG